CCCAATAATTAAAAGAGAATGATAAATAGACTTTGTGATACAAAAATTCACAGATGGTTCCTGGAGATGTAACTCAGTTATAGAGCATTTGCCTAGCACACACAAAGCCCTAGGTTCCATCCCTAGCGCCACAGAAGCAAAACCCAAAGCAAATGAACAAGACCAAGGGAATTTATTGCCATTAGGTCTGCCTTGCAACAAATGTTAAAAGAAGTTCCTCATATAGAAGTAAAATAACATTAGAAACTTAGGTCTTTAAAATGAAATGGAGATCTTTTTTAAAGATTAAAACCTCATTCAATTTTATGTCTTAATAGAGTTTATACTAAGTACAATAATGTATAACTGTATTAATTGAACCCTGTGAATCTAAAAATTTACAGCCAATTTTGAAATAGATACATCTTTGTTCTGGAAACTGTTATTGACTATGTCAATGCTGTTGTAATAAAATACTTCTACTAATTATGTGGTTATTAAATAAATTTTAAAAAATTAAAAAAGAAACGGGTCTGCATAAAGAAATGACAAGTGGCAGAGAACAAACTAAAGTTCAAATATTTTAGTTTTTCTTGCATTACTTATACAAATTACTTTTGTAACAGTGTTTCATGCAGAGATACCTACAGAGGCTTTTGGGAAGAAAATAAAGAAAATGTTAAGAAAAGTAGGCATGGTGGCACCACCAGTAATTCCAGTAATTAATAGGCTGGGGCAAGAGGACCATAAGTTCCAGTTCAACTATATAGTTTAAGGCCAGCCTGGGATGCATATTGAGATTCTGTCTCAAAACAACAGCAATAAGAACAACAAACCAAGTAAACAAAAATATCAGCAAAAGCAAAAGTTAAAAAATGAAATGACTTTGGCTGGACATGTATCTCAGTGGCAGAGTGCCTGCGTGTATGTGTGCAAGGTCTGCACTCACTGCTATAGGAAAAAAAGAGACTTTGCTGTGTGCATTTTGCACCCTCTACATTGTGACTATATAGTAGAAATAAAGTAGCTGAGAAGTAGATATAACTGCATCATCAGCTGAACCACTCAGTGAGCAAACAGTACATGAATAAAGATACTTTTTAATAGAAAGGAAGACTGGGAAGAAAAGGGAGCATGAGGAAGAGCTTTAGAGTAGTCCAGGTAAGAAATGCCATTGAAAAGGGGCCATTTGAACAGATGCCTGAGTGACAGCATGAGGTGATTGCGCCACAGAGCCACAGCATCTTTGGGAGGAGCAGCAATGTCAAGGCCACAGAGCTCCTGCTCCCTGATTGTCTCACCAGTAGGTGGCATCTCTGGTCTGAGACCAAAGATTTTCTTTACATTTGATGTTTAGTTTTTGGGGGGCTGGAGATTTGGCTCAGCAGTTAAGAGCACTGGCTACTCTTGCAGAGGACCCGGGTTCAATTCCCAGCACCCACATGGCGACTAACAACTATCTGTAACTCCAGTTCCAGGGTATCTGCCTTCTTCTGACCTCCTTGGGCATTGAATGGCATGAGACACTTACGTACATGCAGGCAATACAGTCATACACATAAAATAAAAATAATAAAAGATTTAAATGTTTAGTTAGTTTTAATAATACAGTTCACACTTATGCACATTTGACCAAAAGCAAATACATGCCTTGACAGCAACCTCTACCTATCTAAGCTGTGTCCCCCCTACCCCCTGTGAGTTGCCCTGCCTGTCCTCAACTAAGGTAATCTTGAATCCCAATTTCACCAATTTTTTTTGGTCTTTTTGAGACAGGGTCTTTCTGTAGCCCCAGCTGGCCTGGAACTCAACTATGTAGACCAGGCTGGCCTTGAACTCACAGTGATCCACCTGACTTTGCCTCCCGAGTGCTGGGATTAAAGGCATGTGCTACCACGCCTGGCTTTTGTTTTCTTTTTTATATAACTTTATTGCAAATAGAGAAATTCCTAGTTTGTTCTTTATTTTAGTGGCATAAGATGTATTACATTTACATGTATTTATTGTTTGGGGGGTATGTGAAGCCTTAGGGGATGGCTACAATTACAGTCCCAAGAAACCTATACTTCAACCTACATTAAATCACCTCAAAATACTTTTCTCAGGTGAGGATTCAGAAAGGCCTTCAGCAGGACACACATCCTTTTACTTCTAACAAAAGGATTCCCTGTAGGAAAAGCTAATTGAACCTAGTTTTGAAGAATGAACAGGAGATGGCAGCTGAAAGGCAGTGAGACTTCTTCACCTTCTGTTGCAATGACATATCCCAGAAGGGTAGGGGCACTTCCAGCATTCCACGTGGGAATTGATAAGGGTCAGCAAACTGCTTAAAGGGCAGAATCGGAGTCTTATGTTAAAGCTACATTTGCAAAGAGCACCATCAACAACGTAACTTTGAGAAAATAAAAACAATTTCCTAAAGATGTTTTTTAAATACATTGTGTCTCTCTCGGTGGTGGTGGTGGTGATTTGTGTGTGTGTGTACATCCTCAGGTGTGAAGGTTTGAGGAAAATTTTCAAGAATTGATTCTCTTTTTCCTTTTTTTTTTTTTTTTTTTTTTTTTTTTGGTCTTTTTGAGGCAGGGTCTCCCTGTAGCCCCAGCGGGCCTCGACTTCACAGAGATCCACCTGCCTCTGCCTCCCAAGTGCTCGGATTAAAGGCCTGCGCCACCATGCCTGGCATTGATTCTCTTTTTCCATCTTGGGTTCAGGGATTGAACTCAGGTTATCAGTCTTGGTTGCAAGCACCTTTACCTGCTGAGCCATCTCACTGGCCCCTTAAAGATATTTTTCTGGATAAGATATTAGACTAAGGACTCATTAAAATTATTGGTCCAGGCCAGCTGGGGCTACAGGGAGACGCTGTCTCAAAAAGACAAAAAAAAAATATTGTATTGGTACAAACATTTATTTTAGTTGCAGTAGACCAGCCAAGCCCCATAAGTGTAGCAGCTTTTGGGAACTTAATGATTTCCATACCCCTCCCCTTCCTCTTGTGGCACCTCCTAGGAATATTTGCACCCCTCCGATTTCTCCCTCTTGTACCTTGTGGTATCTTCCAGCCTGAATTCACCCCACTTCCCACCCTGTAGTATCTGCCAGTAGACAGCTGTAGGCGCCTGTGTCTAAGGGACCCTTAGATGCTCCACTGGTATTTTGCAGATTGTGGAGTTCAGATTCAAAGATCTCCAGTAAGCCCAGAAAGGTCTTCACTCCTGTTCCCCGCTAGCAACACAGCTCTACATCTCTGCTCTGTGAGTTTACAGACATCCTTCTCTGTGGTACTAAATAAACCGTCTTCCAACACCCTGTAGCTAGTGGAGAAGCGAGGCCCAGGCTCCACCAGGTTCCTCTTGTATTTATGTCCCACAATAGCTCCTGGGTACGCTGGGTATGAAGGGTCTCCAGGTTATGAGAATCTTGGAAAGTGGTTTGCTCATGCGTAGACGGCAGTCCCCGTTTTCCTCCGTGTCCCGCCCCTCCCCCTCTTAATCCCCCCAATGGGGCGGCGCTAGGGCGGTGGCCGGAAGCAGCTGCGCTGCCCAGCCACTGTCAATTGTCAAGGAGATTCAGCTCAGAGATGAGTGCAGAAGTGATGGGCGGTCGGGGAGGGTAAGTGCCAGGTGTTCTCTGTGGGCAGTGGTGGAATCGTTTGTCTAACTTGAGTTGGATGATTCGCCCATAATTTTGCAGGGCTTTTCTGTTTTCTATCAACGTGAATGTCTTAAAGTTCACTTTCAGATCCACCGGTTTGTTACATTATGTTTGCAGTGTTTTCAAGGAATTAATAATTTGTCTTTTCCACAGGAGTTATGTGGAAGTGCATTTTCAACCAAAGTTCACCTGTTTAATGGATTTGTAATCTTAGTTTTCTGTTAGAAAAATGTCTACGTGAAGCTCGTTCTTTAAATATGAGACTTATGGCCTAGTCTAGAAAATACTGTTTAATTATTTAGTTGTCAGTTCTGTTATGCAAATTTTAGGCTTTTTGCGCAGGAGGAGGTCTACTTTCATTACTGAGAAGGGAGAGATAACTCTTTGCTGTGATGGTGGTTTGTTAATTTCTCCTTGCTGCTAATGATCCATTGTGAGTCATTTTTTGCTGTAACATGTGAGAATTGGGTTGTGGGGTGTTTGTTCGCTTATGGAAGTCCAATTACTCAAGCACCATTCATTTGGAAAGATTATTCTTCCTCCATTAACTTGTTTTACACATTTATCAAAAAATAAATTGGCCATACTTGTGTGAGGGCTCTTTCTGAGCTGTTTTGTGTTCCATTGCTCTCTAGTAGTTGTACACTGTCTTTATTACTTTAGTCATGGGCACAGAGCCGGATTGCAGCTTGTTCATGAGTGTGCATAAGATAACCAAGTCTTTCAGACCCTTCTGGAAGTCAGGCCCAATGGAGAGGCCCATGAGTCCCTTGATCCAGCTGTGGAGCTTGACTTCCTTCTGGGGGTCATATATAGATAGGAGCCAGTTCTTCACCTCCAAGAGCCAGTCAGAAAAACTGTATGGAGCTCATGGTGTAGGACCCACAGGCAGATGGGACAGGGACCAGAGGGCCTAAGAACTTTTTTAAAAAGGATTTTTGTGTCTAAATCACGAGAGGTACTGAGTTATAGCTCCTTTTTTTTGATACTGACATTATTTGGTTTGAGTATTAGAGTAATAGCTTCATAGATTAAATTGGGAGCTATTTTCTATTTTCCCGTTTTCTAGAAGAGATGGTATGGGATTAATGATACTTTTTCTTTTTTACATTTATTTATTTATGAGAGAGAGGGGGGCGGTGGAAGGGACCATCACAGTGTGTATATGGAGTTCAGAGGACAGCTTAGGGGAGTTGGTTCTCTCATTCTTCCATGTGTGTTCCTGGGATCAAACTCAGGTCATCAGGCTTGCTGTGCCATCTTGTTAGCCCTAGTGGTAATTTTTCTTTAAATGTTTGGTCCAGTTCTCCAATGAAAAAAACCATGTGAGCTTGGAAATTTACATTTGGATATATTTTCTTTTTTCAAAAAATATGGAAGGCTTCATGAATTTGCATGGCATCCTTGCACCAGGGCCATGCTAATTTTCTTTGTATTGTTCCAATTTTAGTATATGTGCTGCCAAAGCGAGCACAACACATTTGGATTTTTAATTATGGCTTCAGTTTCTGTCATAACTTTGCAATTATTCAGACGATCTATTTAATATCATTTCACATTATCCAAGACTGGGTGAGTTGTGGTAATTTGTCTTTTAGGAGGAATTGGACTATTTCCAACATCCAAGTCATTGAACTGATGTACATAAGCTTATTTGTAGTAAAAAAGTCCTTACTTTGACTTTTTTATTGTTGTTACTGAGACAGGGTGTGCTTGATTGATCCTTGATCTCATAGAGATCCACCTGCCTCTAACTCCTGAGTGCTGGGACTAAAGGTGTGTGCCATGACACCAGGCTATAAATTGTATTTTAAATACACGTTTTAAACTTGTATAAAGCAAAACAATGCTTTCTGGGGGGCTGGAGAGGTGATTCAGTGATTAAGAGCACTTGCTGCTATTAGAGAGGACCTGGGTTCTGTTCCCAGCACCCATATGATTTCTAACAACTGTCCATAACTACAGTTCCAGGAGATCAAATGCCCTCTTCTGGCTTCCGTGGGCATAGCATATACGGGTGCACTTACACATATGCAGGCCAAACAAAAAGAAGAGATAACAATGACTAAGATGCACTTTAAAAAAATATTCAACATCCTTAGTAATTAGAGAAATGCAAATCAAAACTACTTTAGGAGTTCATCTAACTCCAGTCAGAAAAGAGAACTAATGACACCAAATGCTGGTGAAGATGCAGGAAAGGGGAACCTTCATTCCCTGTTGGTGGGATTGCAAACTGGTACAACCACTGTGGAAATCAGTATGGAGAAGTCTTATAAAACTAAAAATAAATCCACTATATGATCCGGTCATACCATTCCTTGGCATATACCTAATGGATTCATCCTACTACAGAGATAGTTGCACAGCCATATTTGTTGTTGCCTTTTTCACAATAGCTAAGAAATGGAAGTAACCTTAATGTCCCTCAACTGATGAGCGGTTAATGAAAATGTAGTACATTTACACACTGGAGTTCTACTCAGTGGTGAAGAAAAACGAAATCATGAAATTTGCAGGTAAATGGATGGAACTAGAAACTGTTATACTAAGTGAAGTAACAGACTAAGAAAAAGAAACGACGTATGTTCTCCCTTATATGTGGATCCTAGCACCAAATCCTTATATGTGAGTATGTATCCTCATGTAACCACAGGAACCAGGATAATGGGATAAAGGGGAAGAAGGAGCTTATGAGAGGGAGATAGTAGGAAGGAGAGAGAGGGAGATATTAGGTGTTAAGGGGGAAATGGGGAAAGAGGGGTACTTTAACTGGGGAGGGAGTAGGGAGGATTATACAGAGGAATGAGAGGAGAGATAAATAATACTTAGATGGTATGAAAAACCAGAGGGAAATGTACTAGTTCATACACATAAAAATAAAAATAAATGAATAACTGAAGGGTTTTTTTTTTTGGTCTTTTTTGAGACAGGGTCTCCCTGTAGCCCCAGCTGGCCTGAAATTCACTATGTAGACCAGACCAGGCTGGCCTCGAATTCACAGGGATCCACCTGCCCCTGCCTCCTGAGTGGTGGGATTAAAGGCATGTGCCACCACGCCCAGCCATGAATAACTAAAGTTTTAAAAAACATTAAAAAACCCAGTCCAGGCTGGGTTCAGTTAGGTTGCCTTCTCCTGTTCTTTTATGAAGGAAACTGGCATTATAAGCTTCTCTAGTATCTTTAAGGTGATATTTGGAAATGAAAAGAAAAACTCAGGGAACTCACCACTGTGTTACTTCCCAAGTGCAACAATCTGCAAACTATTCACTTTTCCTTTCTACCTTTTAGAGGTTTTTGTGCTTGTTATATTGGGGTTATTTTTTTCCTTTGTTCTTTTACACTCACTGGTTTCTATTGTCTCTTTTCTTTTTATTGTCTTTTTTCTTATATTAACTTTGTTAATTGACATTTTAGAGATGAACTTGTTTCATATAAATTTTAAAAAGTGTTGCTATATAGTTGTACATAATATGCTGCAGTAAATAAACACTCCCCTAATTGAAAAAGATTTTTTTCTCTCTCATTTCAACAAGTATATTTACTATTCTGGTCTATCAGGCTCATCAAGGGATTTTCTATGATACTAACCATTTCAAAGGGCTAGATTTTTTTAAACACTATTGTGCCATATTTATTTCATTTATTAACATTATGTGTATTTATTTACTGATACAGGGTTGTGCTGTGTAGCCCAGGCTGGGTTCACACTCAGTATTTTTCTATTTCAGCCTTCTGAGTGCCGGGATCACAGGTGTGTGGCACCTTTCATGGTTCTAAAATTTTATTTTTATTAATTGCAAATACTTAGATTTTGCTTTTGTTTAAAATCTTCCTCCTATCAATGTATTAGGCTAAATATATAACTCATTTTTTATTATAGTCACCTTTAAAAATAAAGCTGTTAAGTTATAAATTTGGAGGCTGGAGAGAGGGCTCAGTGTTTGAGAGTACTTAGTCTTCTTACAGAGGACCCAGGTTCAGTTCCCAGCAACCACATGGCAGCTCACAACCACCTATAACTCCAGCTCCAGGGGATCCAATGCCCTCTTTTGACTTCCAAGGGCTCCTGTGTATATATGTACTCTTACATACATGAAGGCACACACAAATACACATTTTAAAAGCTATAAATTTCACTGTAAATACAACTTTGTGTTTAATAAGTTCTGGTAAAAATTATATAGTTTTCATATTGATTTCCCAATTTGATAATGGATTTTATAGGGAAAAGTTTCTTACCTTTTCAAAAATAGGTGTTGAAGCGATGGTTTAGTGCATAAAGGTGCTTTTTGTCAAGCCTGACAACCTGAGTTTGATTCCTGGAACCCATGTGGTGGAAGGAGAGGCATTACACAAGTTGTCGTCTGACCTCCACATGCTGTGCCATGGCATATGTGGCACCCCTCCTGTGTCAAATAAATAAATGTAATAAAATAAGCACCCACTGCTGGTTGTGGTGGCACATTCCTATAATCCCAGCATTGGGAAGGCTGAGGTGGGAGATTTGCAAATTTGAGGCCAAATTGGACTACATAGTGAGATATTCTTTCAAAAAGAAAAAGATAAGTGTTGTATGGTATACTTATTCCCCAGATAACAGTGCCACTACTGCACCAATAGAGGTCATTTGCTATGCTGGTCATTATGGTTATTAGACTTTAGGGCTGGGTTGAACCACTGATTGATTTTTCTCCCTTAGCAGCTTGCATAGTATCCTCCAGAACTATGAGAACTAAACTTCAAGTAGAAGGCTTCCAGGTCAGTTCCTGCTCCATTGCTCCAAGACCTGTGTCCGAAGTAGGTCCTGTCTTCAGCAGTAGCGTCTTATCTTACAGTTCTGGGGGATAACCAAGAGCTCTGGCAATAGCCTGAGCCTGTGTTATTTTGGAGTCTCTTGAACCACTCTAACCAACTACTTGAAGGGAGGTCTCTCCTGTCTGGCACTGTGTTCCTTGCCATACAGCCCCCAGGTATACATATTCACTAATGTTCAGGCACTATATATGCATTTATTAGGGAGTTTCAGAGGCAACACATTTCCCTCTGGCTTCCCTAGCCCTCCAGGATCCATTAATCTCTACTATCTCTCCCCCCATTCAACCTCCCTCCTCCTTCCCCAGTCCAAGAGACCCCATTATCCCCTCCCTCACCCCAATAACGCCTACCTCCTCTTCTAAATTCCTGCCTCCCCCACTGTGGCTCCCTATATGTCCCTCGCTCCTCCTCTCCCAGCCTAACACTCCCACTTTTCCCACCTCCCCCCCATGGTAACATCTGTTTCCTATTATCCCCCTCTTTTGGGTTCGTTCTTTTTCTTTACCGCCATGGTTCCTTTCCATTTTTCCTGGCTCCTGGTGTTATATCAGGATATATACTCACATATAAGGGATTACTGCTATGATCTGAAAATAAGGGAGAACAGAAGTTGCTTGCTTTTCTGCTTTTCTGTTACTTCACTCAGTATAACAGTTTCTAGTTCCACCCATTTATCTGCAAATTTCATCTTTTCTTACTGCTGAGTAGTACTCCATTGTGTAAATGTACCACGTTTTCATTATCCATCCATCAGAGTGACATTTAGGTTGTTTCCATTTGTGAGGAGAGCAGCAATGAACATGGATATACAGTAGAATAAAACCTTTGGGTATATGCCAAGGAGTTGTATAAGTGGATGATATTGTAGGTTCATTGTCAGTTCTTTGAGAATTCTCCACACTGCTTTCCATAGTGGTTGCACAAGTTTGCATTCCCACTAGCAGTGAATGAGTGTTCCTCTTTCTCCACAACCTTGATAGCATTTGGTGTTTTTCATTCTCTTGCTCTTAGCCACTCTGACTGGGGTAAGATGGAATCTTAAAGTGGTTTTTATCTGCATTTCTTTAATTACTAAGAATGTTGAGCACTTTTTAAGTGTTTCTTAACCATTTTTATTTCTTCATTTGAGAACTTTCTGTTCAGGTCCTTAGCCCATCTTTTTATTGGGTCATTTATTTTCTTGTTTCCTTGTTTTTTGAGTTCTTTGTATATTCTGGATACTAATCCTCTGTTGGATGTGTACCTGGTAAAAATTGTCTCCCACTCAGTGAGTTTCCTCTTGACTTCCTTGGTTGTTTCTTTTGCTGTACAGAAGCTTTGTAGCTTAATGAGGTACCACTTATTCGTTGACCTTAATGGCCTGAGCAGCTGATGTCCATTTAGAAAGTCCTTTCTTACGCCTATATCTTGGAGGGTACTGCCTGTTTTCCACTCATCAAAGAAGCTTCTTTTTTCAGCAGATGGAAACTACTGCAGAATCCCACAACTGGTCAGACATAGAGAACATACGTCTAAGAAATACCCAGTTCTAGGTGACATATCTACAGTAGAAACTCTACATCTAAGACTCATGGAACATAGTGGAATGGGGGGTAGAGAGAAAACTAGTGCATCCCTGAACTCTCACCAGTGAAGCTTCCTTATACAACAGAGTGCAGAGATGCACATAAAAAGTCACAACTGGCCAACTTTTAAAGGATAAGAGACTGCAGCCGGGTGTAGTGGCACACATCTTTAAACCCAGCAATCAGGAGGCAGAGGCATGTGGATCTCTATGAGTTCGAGGCCAACTGGGACTACAGGGACATCCTGTCTCAAAAAAAAAAAGACTAATAAAAGACGAGAGAGAGAGAGAGAGAGAGAGAGAGAGAGAGAGAGAGAGAGAGAGAGACAGAGAGAGAGAGAGAGCGCAGAGTATGTGTCCCTGGATAGGACTTCTATATTAAACTTTTCCCACACACAGCTCAGGGACCATTGTGGAAGAGAGGGCAGAAAGAGTATAAGAGTCAGGGTTGGTCCATGAATATAGGGAAGCAGAGGCTTTCAGGCCACTGGAAGCTTGCAGGCCACATGTGAACTTGTGGCCATGGTGGCATCGAGCACAGGACTCATGCCAACTCAAATCAGACAAGAGCCCAGAGAGGAGCAAGGGAAATGGGTGGTGGGTTGGCCCTAGTCTAGGACCTATTGGAGACTCATTACTACTGGTTGAGGGAGAGTCAGCCTTACTTATGATCTCTAGATAGGCTGACTAGACTCCAGTGGATGAATTTGCACCAAAAGACATCTCAGTACAAATGCTTGACTGGATAGGACTTGACATGTATGGTAGAATATATGTGGTCTGGTGTGGGGGTGGGGATTATGGATGGGGGAGGGATCTAAATTTGATTGTATGAAATGTACAAAAGCTCAACAGAAAATCAAAAAAAGAAAAGAGACTATATTTGTTTACATAATTCTAATATAAAATTCACACATTTAAAATGTACATTTCAGTGGTTTTTAGTATATCCACAGTTGTGCAACCATCACTATAATAAATATTAGAACCTTTTAAAAAACCCATGGAGAAACTTTGTCCTCATTAGCAGACATTCATCATTCATACCATCCATACCTCCATTTATTTGTTTATCTAATCTCTGTCTGAATTTGCGTATTCTGGATATTTTGCGTAAGCATGGAATATGTGATCTTTTTTGCCTGATTATATTCTCTAAGGATGATAGTTTTAAGGAGAATTCATGTTATTGCAGTATCAGTACCTTTTGGCTGCCAAATAATATTCTCTAGTATGGTTATACAAAATTTTGTTTCTGTTTATCAATTGGCAGATATTAGGCTGCTCCACTTTAGGCTACTATGAATCATGCTGTGATCAATATTTGTATATAACTTTTGGAGTGGAAATACGTATCAATTTCTTGGGTAGATAGGTAGGAGTGGAATTGCTGGATCATATGGTAAATCTATGGTTATCATTTTGAGGCCCTGCCATAAGTGCTTATACCATTTTATGATCCCAGTAGAAATGCATGGCAACTCTGTTTTTTTCACATCTCACTAATGCCTGTGTTTTTTCTTATTTTAGCCATCCTAATGAATGGGAAATGGTATCCTTTTAAAAACTAACCTTTTAAAGATTTTTTTTTTATTTATGTGTATCTGTATGTCTGCTTCTCTGTGTGTGGGTATATACACTTGCATGTGGGTGCCTGTAGTGGTGTCAGATCCCCTAGAGCTGGAGTTACAGGTGGTTGTGAGCCACCTGACATGGGTGCTGAGAACCCAAACTTGGTCCCTTAGAAAAGCAGCAAGTGCTCTAAATCACTGAGCTACCTTTCCAGCCCCAAAGTGGTATCCTAATGAATGGAAGATTTCGGTCTTGGATTTGTGTTTCCCTAATGACTAATGATATTGAACATCATATGCTATGACCAGAGATTATAACCTGTCAATTCACAACAGTAAAACATTTGTCCATGCTGTTTGTCGTGGCATAGGTTTATAATCCCAGCACTTAGAGGCAGAAGAATGACAAGTTTGAGGTCAGCCTAGCCTACATAGTGACACTCTGTTTCAAAAATAGAAACAAAAACTAAAGCAAAATACAAATCCCCATTTATTCTATATTCTTTATGGCAAAGTTGTTCAAAGGAATTTTGTAAACACATTTAAAATATTTTATTAATTATTATCATTATTATGATTATTATATGTGTATAAGTGTATTGCCTGCATGTATATAAGTGCAATTGTGTCATACAATGCCTGAGGAGGTCAGAAGAGGGGATCCCCTGGAACTGGAGTTATGGACGGTTGTTGACCATCATGTGGGTACTGGGAACTGAATCTGGGTCCTCTGCAAGAGCAGTATTGGCTCTTAACTGCTGAGCCATCTCTCCAGCCCCAATAAACACATTTTATAAATGCCCATTGGCAGATGATCATTGTGGCATATTCCTGTAGTCTCAGTAGTCAGGAGGCTGAGGCAGGAGCATCATGAGTTCAAGGCCAGCCTGTCTCAAAAAGACTAAAAAAAAAAGTTCCACAGGCATAAGAAAAGAAAGTATATTACTATCTGAGAGAGGAGAGGAGAGGAGAGAGAGGAGGGGAGGGGAGAGGAAGAGGGGGGAGAGAGAGGGAGAGAGAGGAGAGAGAGAGAGAGAGAGAGAGAGAGAGAGAAGAGAGAGAGAGACTGAATATGTTTGAGACACTAACAATTTTAGTTTTTTACTTCTTGGCTATTATATTTTCTTTATGGTATGTCTTCTCTTAAAAAAAAACTTTACTTTTCAGTTCTACATTTGTAAGCCATTATTTTAAGCATCTATTAAAAGGAGAACCACATTTATTTTGGGCCTACAATGTACAGGATATTGTATGTTATATTGAGAACATGAACTTTGGAGAGTCAGGTAAACTGGATTTAACTTGCTATTACTAAACTTCCATTTCTGTATATAAAAATGAAATAATAAGAATTATAATAGTATATAGATGAAAGGTTCTTGTGCAAATTATATGAGGTACCTGCCTTTGTATGTTACACAGTTTCTTAATACAGTGGAATTATCCCTTATCTGAAATACTTGGGATTTTGTGTTTTGGGTTTTATGAGGTTTTTTTTTCAGATTTGGATCATTTGTGTGTTTATAATGAGATATCTTAGGGATACAACCCCGGGCTATACATGGACTTCTTATATGTTTCATATGCTTCACCTGGAGGTAATTTTATGCAATATTTTTGGCAACTATATTTTGCCTTGGTCCATCACATGAGGTCAGGTATGGAGTTTTCCATTTCTACATCATGTCAGTGCTCAAAAAATTTTGGATTTTGAGGCATTTTGAATTTGAGACTTTCAAATTAAGGATGTTCAACCTGTATCAATTCATGCTGTATCTGCTAATATAAATATATAATATTTACATTGTGCCAGTCTCATGCTAAGTGTCTTATAAACATTATCTCATTTAATAACGAGATAGTTTTTTTTAAGTATTTTATTTATTATTTTTATTTTATGTGTATGAGTGTATTGCCTGCATGTATGTGAGTGCATCCATGTCGTGCAATGCCACAGAGGTCAGAAGAGGGCTTTGGATTCCCCTGGAACTGGAGTTAAGGATGGTTCATAGTCGCCATGTGGGTGCTGGGAATCAAACCCGGGTCCTCTGCAAGAATAGTCAGTGCTCTTAACCACTGAGCCATGTCTCCAGCCCCCTAACTTGAGATAGTTTTGATTCATCTAAAAAAAATAAAACTGAAAATGATTTTTTTTGTAATGTCACATGTAAATATTGGCAGAACTAGAATTTAAACCTTTATTTATCTCAGTCTTCCTCATATTCCATTTTGATTAATAAGCAGAATAGATGTTTTGAGGACTTTGTCTACCTCACAGTATCCAGTGGGTTGTCTATACTTTGACACCACCATAAAATGATTGTGTGTCATGTGTTGTATGTTTCTGACCATGTACACACTGTCTTTCCAGGTGTCTTTGAGCTTCTCCAGGGTCCCAAAGGGAGACTCCTTAGCGAAGACTGCAGGGTCTTCCTTCTGACCCAAACAGCTCCTGTCAACTTCAAAGACCTCACCAGGTTTGGAGAACGTGGGCAGAGTAGAGTTACTGACAAGAGCCCAAGAGCAGAGGTTCATTATAAACATGGCAGCTATCCAGGACCCTCCCCAGCCAGGGGGAAATGCCAAGGCCTGTGAGGTAAGGGGGAAAAAGAGAGTCCCAGGTGTATGTAGGAATTCATCCTGAACTTCAGAGTCTGAAGGAAAGAAACAATCTTGTGTGCATATCTTCCAACCTTGATTTAATTTTCACAACCACTTGAAGCTACATTCCTAGCCCTAGAAGACTCTACCATGAAGCTACATCCCCAATCCTTTAAAATAATTTTAAAATTTTTTTGGTTTATTTATTTTTATTTTATGTGTATGAGTATTCTGCCTGCATGTATATAAGTGCACTTCATATGTACAATGCCTGTGGAGGTCAGAAGAGGGTGTCGGGTCTCCTGGAACTGGAGTTAAGGATGGTTGTTAGCCCCTTTGTGGGTGCTGGGAACTGAACTCTGGTCCTTTGCAAAAGCAGCAGCCAGTGCTCTTAAGCACTAACCCATCTTTCCAGCCCCCCCCGCCTTTTTTTAGGTAAAGTCTTGCTAAGTTTCCCAGGCTGGCTTTGAACTTGTAATCCTTCTGCTTCAGCCTCCTGAGATTACAAGTATGTGCCACCATGCCTGGTACTTTTCTATCTCTTTTGCACTCCTTCTTATTAGTTAAAAATACTTTATCTTCTAAATCTTCTATTGTGTATCATTAATGTTGGCATAGGTTTTATTTTAAACAACTTCTGATTTTTAGAATATTCCCATTAATACCTATTTTTATTTTCTGGACGCAGTATTTTATCACTCAAAGAACATTAGTAATGGATTAGTGATGAGGCCTGGAATGGACTCAAACTCAGTAATGTGTATGAGTGTTTTTTTTTTGTTTTTTTTTGTCTTTTTGAGACATGGTCTCCCTGTTGCCTTAGCTGGAACTTGCTATATAGACCAGACTGGCCTTGAAGTCACAGAGATCTGCCTGCCTCTGCCTCCTAAGTGATGGGGTTAAAGGTGTACGCTACCACGCCTGGCTCAAACTCACTAATGTAACCCAAGAAGGCCTTGAATTCATAATCCTCTTGCTTTTTGAGTACTGGGCTCATGGGCACATGTCACTAAACCTATCTTATGAAAATTCTTGTTCATGTTTCCTCATGTACATATATATGTATGTGCCTCTAAGTATTTACATATGGGTGGAGTTAGTAGATCATAAGTTAAATGTATATTTTAAAACATGTTTTATTGTGAATATATGTATAAACAGAAATGTACAGCTGAGTGATTTGTCATTTTATAGCTCTAGAAAGCTTATCATCCACTTTCCAGAACTCTACTCTCAAAGATTACTACTCTGTCCTTTATGATATTATAAGAAGAAAATCACAGTCTACAGATGATATTAAAACAGGAGACTTTTACCCAGAACATATAAAGAACAACTAAACAGTAAGAAAAAGCAGGGTGTGCAGTAGTCAGCGGCCTTATTGAGCAGATAGGTAACAAATGAAGGTATCCAAATGGTTAGTAGTCACCTCAGACAGTGCCCAATCTCAGTTGCCCAGAAAATGCATATTTAAACCACAATATAACTACACACCACCCAAATGACTCACATCAAGAAGCCTGACAGTGACAAGCACCATGACAAAAGATAGGATGAGAAGCACCATGGGCTCCTAGGTGTAGCTGATGGGAGTGCGAATTGGAGCAGTTTGGAAAACATTTTAGCCTTATTCATCATTCTTTCTATGAATGTAGACCATAGCAGGAAACAGTTCTGTCTGACTGATGTGCTAGGTCACATACGTAATGTTCACTCTAGCATTATTTGACACAGTCAGTAACTGGAAATGATGAAAATATCCAAAAATGGTAAAATGGATAAATTGAACCTAATATTGAGTAAAAGTTGAGAGGCCCAGGGCTGGAGAGATGGCTCAGCGGTTAAGAACACTGGTTGTTCTTGCAGAAGACCCGGGTTCAAATCCCAGCACCCACATGGCAGCTAACAACTGTGGATCCGACAGCCTCTTCTGACCTCCAAGGGCACTGCATGACATGGGTGCACTTACCTACATGCAGACAATACACGCATACACATAAAAAATAAAAGTAATAAATAAAAAATTTTTTTTAAAAGATGAGAGGCCCAAAGAATATGCTGTGTTTGTTTCAGTTTATATAACCCCATGAGTATTGCTGCATGGTACAGCACATATTTGGCATGTACAAGGACCTAGATTTAATCCCAAGCTTCAAACAAACAGATACACACTTTTCAGTACTTGCTTTTCTCAACAATTAATGTTGGTGAACAATGTTGGTATGCACAGTGAAGTGAATTATGTCCATTGTGTGGCTATCTTGAAATATACTAATGACTCCTATAGTAACAGGAATTTAAGGGTTTCTCAATCTTTTGAAATTATATACAACATAGCAATGAGTATCCTTGTACATAATCAATTAGCACAAGGTAGAGAGGAAGAATATGTTTAAGGAGATCCATTCTGTGGCCCACACTTTAAATTCCAGTACTTGGGAGGCAGAGGCAGGCAGATCTCTATGAGATCTAGGCGAGCTTCTTCTATATAGCGAGTTCCAAGCCAGCTAGGGCTACAGGGAGACCCTGACTTAAAAGAAAAAAGATTTTCTCTTAACCTGTCTCTGAAAGGTCTCCCTATGAAGCCCAGGCATGTCTTAAATTTTTATTCCTCCTACCTCAGGCTCTGAAGTGCTAAGATTATAGCCGTGCACTGCTAAGCTCTGTGTCCATGTCTCTGTTCTACTAGAGGTTGAGTCTAGGGCTTTCTGAATGCTAGGCAAGCACTCTACCACTGGACAAAATCCCAACCCTCTTTTTCTGTTTTTTTGGAGACAGAGTCTAAGTTGCCCAGGCTGACCTTGAACTCCCTTTGTAGGCCAGTCATCTTTAACTTGTCATCCTCCTTCAGCTTTCCAAGTAGTGGGATTACAGGCTGCACCATTAGACCCAGGTCCATTCCTGGATTTAAAAAAATAATTTATATATATATATTTATATATGTATATAAATGTTTTGTCTGAATGTGTGTTTGTGTACTACCTACATGCCTGATGCCTGCAGAGGCCAGATGAGGGCATCCAATCCCCTGGAACTGGAGTTAAATGTAGTTGTGAGCTACTACATAGGTGCCAGGAGCTGAACCCCAGGTCCTCTATAAGAGCAGCAACTACTGTTAACCACTGAGCCATCTCTCCAGCTTTGATGCCTAGCTTTTGAAAATTTCAGCAACTAGAATTCCTGGGAAACGATAATGCATTTCATTTTTGATAGACCAAATTGCCTGGAGTGTGGGTTGTATCAGTTGTATGAGTGCCTATTATTATTATTATTATTATTATTATTATTTTGCAAGACAACATAGTTTCTTACTCCTTAAAAATGTTTTCTTTGTGAGACAGGTCTTACTATGTAGGCTTGAAACTTGCTAGGATGACCTCAGATTTGTGATCTTCCTGCCTCAGTTTTTGGTTTCTGGAATTACAAGCCTGTGCCACCATGCCTGGATCATATTTGTTTTTTCTTTGGTACCAGTCTGATAGGTTAAAACTTGGTATCTCAGTACAGATCTAATATGCATTTGTCTTACTATGACTGAGGTTGAATTTATATGATTATGTTTAAAGAGCCACTTACACTGTTTTTATATGAGCTGCTGTTTTATTTTGAGGAGGGGTTGTTTGAGACAGGGTCTCCCTGTGGCTCCAGCAGGCCTGGAACTATGTAGACCAGGCTGTCCTCAGTCTCACAGAGATGCACCTGCCTCTACTTCCTGAGTGCTGGGACTAAAGGTATGCACCACCATGCCTGGCTATATGACCTGTCTAAAAAATTCCTTTCCTCATTTTTCTGTTACTCAAGGACGTTAGCTCTTTATCCTTTTTCTGTGTCCTAAACATTTTTCTCAGCTTCTCTTTGTCTTTTGGGGGGCTGGAGATGGAACCCAGAGCCTTATACATGTTAAGTATGAGGTCTACTACTGAGCTATACATGTAGCCCCCTCATTTGTCTTTAAAGTGAAAATTTTGATGATTTTTCCACTTTGGTATTTCATCCAACTAAGTTTTTCATTCTTTCATGTCCTCCAACCTTTGTGTTATAATTACAAAGCCTTCTTAATTGCTCAGCAGTTGTATATGAAAAAAAGCAACAATAACAACCAGAACACTTATAACTTTTAGTATTTTTAAATTTATTTAATAACCATATAATTAGAAGAAGCATTTCATTACAACAGCATTGACATATTCAATAACAGTTTCCAGAACTAAGATGCATCTCTTTCAAAATGGGCTGTAAATTTTTAGGTTTACATTTGAATTAATACAGTTTTACAATACTGTACTCAGTATAAACCCTATAAGACATAAAATTAAATGAGATTTTAACCTTTAAAAAAGATCTCCATTTAATTATTAAAATACAGAGTTTCATGCAGAAAACTTCATTTTTAATGCAATTGACATTAAGTCGTTTGCACATGCATTTCTAATCTTTGCACATGTGTTTCTAATCTCTGTATATCTGATTATTACTAGTCACATTCAGTTACTTTCTGAGCTCCTTGGCATCTGAGCATGGATATAAAGTTATCAGGTAGATTTCAATGATAATGTTTTTCACATCTACTAATTATTAAGGAGAAAATTTTTATGCTTTGAAGAATTTATTTATTTATTTATTTATTTATTTATTTTTATTTATACACCCACTTCCCAGGTAGCACCCTCCCATAGCCTCCCTACCCCCACTAGAGCCCTTATACACTGATATCCCTACTACTGTATGCTGTGTTGTCGGCACCCCCAGCCATTCCCCACTACTTGCCCTTCTGGTGAATCTAGTCAGCCTACCTAGAGGACTTTGTTTTAGGAGGGTCAGCTGTTCTTCATCTAGCGGTAATCAGTTGTCAATATTCCTTTGGATAAGATTGGGGTCTGCTGTTCATTTTCCAAGTTCTATGCTGGGTTACTCTATGGGAGTCCCTTTGGCCACCATGGCTAACAACTCAAAAGAAGGTATTGCCTGTCTGGCATTGTTGCCTTTAGCTATACA